GTCAGAGGCCTGATTGGGGAGCAGCGGGTCTATTTGAGCTGGCAAGAGTTTCTGGTTAGGAGAGTATTGGGCTAAAGAACTTGGGCGAGGTGGCAGTACAGAGAGAGGGATGGGAGCGTAGAAGGAAGGAAGCTTGGATGTAGGGGACCTCAGGCCATTTGCCAGTTTGCTGGCAAAAGTTACTAAGACTGGTCAAAATGTTGAAATCAAAAGTACTGTCTTCTGGCCATTGAGACCCATTATCTAGTTTACATCGGGGCCAAACTGAATTGCAGTAAAAAACAAGGCGTTTGGGGGAGATCTGGCTTTAAGCCAAGGGTTGAGAGATTAGCCAGGAGGCAGCCTACAGGTGGGGAGGAGTCCTGCTTGGAATTTTTGTTTCCCAGGCTGCAGGGCCTCTGGAACGGGAGAAGGGGAAGGCTTCTCAGCTCCCCCAGAAAAGGAGCAGAGAGAATCCGGTGTCCCCAAGTGCTGTCCTTTAGATGTGGCTCTGCCGTGGGGCCGCGGTTCAGAACTGAAATGAATGAACAAAGCCTCTAAAGAACCCAGCAGCAAGGGGCAGTGGCCGGAATAGCAGAAATAACTTTAGTCGGGTACTGTCAGGTACTCACTCGTAGATGCGGTGGATGGCAGCTGAGAGGTCCTAGTCCAAGAAAAGGGGGCATGGAGGAGAGAAGGGCATCACACTCGCCCAACGGAGGGCGGGTCGGGTCAAAACACCTCTTACTCCTCCCGGGTTTTGGACACCACGATGAGAGTGTTAGGTAGGCCAGCATAGGACTGGTGGATGGATGTCCGTTAACCCGTGCCCAGAGGGCCAAGCTAGGGAAACAAAGGAGTTGCGCACTGCACATGCTCAGTAGGCAGGGGTGGGCGTGAACTTGAATTGGCTCACCTAGCCAGGTGAATTCAATTCAGCCAATGGGGTCAATCAGGCTGAATTGGTCAATTCAGCCAATCAGGGGTCTTCCACCACGCCTCCCTGTGGAATCCTTGAAAAGGTAGAAGCCCCGGGAGGGAGAGAGAACTTAGGCGCAGAGAGCTTTGGGCTGAACTTTGGGACGCTTTGCGGGACGCTGAGCCGCTTCCAGCCAGGCCGCAATGTCCGGGAGGAGCCCCTTGGGTGCCGTGTAAACCTGAAACTTCTTCTAACCCTCATAAAACTCGCTTCGATCACGAACCAGGCTTCGGCGTGAATTCTTTCTCGCCCGGAGCCAAGGACCGAGGTATAAATCTAGCTCCAGAGAGATCTAACAAGAGGTCAACTCTGAGACACGGAACGGAGATAGGATTGAGACAAAGAGCGTATGGTTAAGAGCGGCTTTATTAGGGCAGGGAAAGAGCTCCCGGGAGGGAAGGGAGAGCAGAGACAGGGACAGGAGCATCTTGAGCTCCCGGGCGGTTCCGAGACCCAAAAGTCAGCAGCTTGTTGGTGAGGCGGTGGGAGATACATAGGACTCTAGCGAGGGAGGTATACGTTGACAACAAGAAGAGTAAAAGGATCACCAAAAAGAGGAAGATCCTCAGCAAAATGGATTGACCCAGTGACTGCAACAACAGGCTTGAGGGTGGAGGAGGCAGTGTTTCATTAGTCAGCATCAACCTAACAGCACCCGGCACCGAGCAGGCTGTGTTCCACAGCCCACAGCCACTCCTGACAACCTTTTGTAGACACTCCATTGCAATCAAAATGAAATGCAAACTCTATATGATTTCTATGGACATTTGTATTTATATTCCGTGCCCTGGATTCCATCAGCCAAACCAAAAACCTCACTGCCGTCAAGTCGGTTCCGACTCATGTTGTGAGGACGTGTCAGGCTGGTTCTGAGATACAGGTACACATGTAATATACATATAAGTGTTGCTGTGAGGACGTGTCAGGCTGGTTCTGAAATCAGGTACACATGTAATATACATATAAGTGTTGTTGTGAGGACGTGTCAGGCTGGTTCTGAAATCA